ACGTGACCGTAGTTTTACTTCATGTTCCCGCGCCCGCTTGAAAAAAATGGCCGACAAACGCGGGAAAAACTCCCGAAAGCCTAGAAAGCTTTCAAAGGTTGAAACCAGGAATCTTACCGAAACACTAAGCAGGGTATTATTGCCTTACCACCCGGGCCACACATAACATAATGAAACCCACTGACGTTCTCGCAACTTCATGAAGTTGTCACTTAAAAAAACGATGCCTCGTTGACCCTCTACACAGTTAACTTATACTGCAAATAGGCTTTTAAAATTCTTATGTTAAAAGTCTAGAATAAACAGTAAAAAATATTTTCGAGTATTATTAATTAGCTGCGTATCGAAAAGTGTCCAAAACCTGAACCTGACATCTTCGCAAAAAGTGATGCGTGCAATGAACGTGAGAAGCATTTAAGCTTAAATTCAGCTTGGATGTTGTAGTCACGATCGTCTTTTAAGCTAATTTTTTGAATGAGTAAACTCAAAACAATAGACAGAGAAGCCGTTTCTTGAAAATTTTTATTCAAAATCCAAAAAGTTAATCGGCTGAGCACATGGAAAAATCCAACACAAAATCTATCTCAAATTGGGGCACATTTTGTAATTTTTCTTTAGCGCCAAAGAGAAAAATTTATAAAACGTCTATGAAAAATTTAAAAACACATAAATTCACTTTCAAAAACGTAATTGTCTTGGCCATAGAGTGCAAAATGTACCTGAAAATTCAGCAAAAACTTCGCTGACTTGGTTGCATTTCAAAACAGACCATGCGCTCCGTCGAGAAGAGAACAGGGTTGAATTCCTCGAAGGACGATTTCTTGATGAAAAGCTTCCCTTCCTCCCCAAAAAGAAAGCTGAGCATTATTTCGAACTTTCTCTTTCCATTTTTTGTCTTTAACCTTGAAATGCAGAACTCTTGCCTTAAAACATCTGCATGGTGATCGCGCGGCAGCCATTTGTTGAAAATGGATATCTGTCACTAAGGTTTCCAAATATGGTAAAAGTGATTGTTATATTCCTAGACTTTCACTCAACTAAACAGGGACAGCCATTGGCTGATTCTTGGTCACGTGGCCTTGACTAAAATCAAATGTATCCCGATCGCGATACATCAAGCAATGTACCCCGCTCGGGATACATTACAGCATGTGATCAGAGCATGGTGGAAAGTGGCGTGACAGAAGGCGGGAAAAACACTGCCAGTTTTCTGTTACGTGAATGAACACAACAACATTCACAACAACACAAACATGAAGCCTCAAGCTAAAAAGCAACGATTTTCAAAGTTATCCCAGAAGAGAAACAGCAGCTAGTGGAGGAAGATGCAGATAATATAAGGAAAGTACTTTTTAAATCATTCATGCAGTGGTTTTGAGAATTAAATTAGTGTTCTTATAAGTACCGAGTCGTACTGTTTTGATTCACTCCTCTTAAGCGCATTGTTTTGTTGCTGTTGAAGTACGTTGAAGTGAAAGTCTAGAATATAACAAAACACTTAATGTCAGGTCCCTCGGGAAACCAGTTAGTTTTGTTTTCCCAAGAGTCCTGATGTTTCCCGAGACGAAGTCGAGGGAAACATCAGGACTCTTGGGAAAACAAAACTAACTGTCTCCCTCGGGATCTGACATTAAGTGTATAATATTCACGAGCATTGAACGCGACAACCCCTTATGAGTTTCTGGTTATAACGATGTGTAATCTTGAAAAGCGTTTGATACGCGCGACATTTTTAAGTACTCCTGCAAGCGATGTTCATGAACGATGAAAACAAACGCCACGGACAAGCGATTAAAATTGCAAGAGAGACTGCTAAAAATCAATAAAAGAAATGCAAATCGGTGAAACATTTACAGAGACAACAATTTTCATTCACGAAGACAAGTATTAAAGTGTCTCTAAAAATCCTGAGTCTTTAAGCTTAAAGCTTAAGCTTAACTTTATTTTGTTTTACTTTCAGCCGGCCTCCCGGTGTTTGCCTTTTGCAAAGATGAATCCTCGAAGCAAGAAAATCGCTCAAATTTTTCTTTCTACAGCCAAATTTATAACTAAATATTCTTCGGAACGTTTTCTGTCTATTTGCCGTACGAAAATATATCTGAAGGCCGTTTAAAGTTCTGTAAGCTTATATCAAACCTGATACTAGGTCAGATCATTGACTCAAATCTTACAAACACGCAAAAATGTGACGCATAAACAGTTATCGACTTCATGAAATTAGATATAACAAAAACAAACATCAAATACAATGATTACTCAGGCTTACCATTCGAGATTCAGTTCCTGAAAGATATCAAGGAAGGCCAAAGCTGCTTGAGAGTTTTAAACCCTCTTACGCAAAAGCAAGGTGAAAAACGAAAACGATGCCATCCGAAATCGGATCACCCAATTTTGACAAGCGACGCATTTCTCAACCAAAAACCCAATAAACAAACCAGCCATGGATAACAGAAGACTCTTGATAGTAGCTGTATTTCATTTTGTACATCCAGTCGAAAAAGACAGTTAAAAACATCACAAGTTGACACAAAACTCTATCAGCTTCAGCTGTCAAAGTAAACAACTTTCAAGATGCTGCATAAATTTTCCGCATGAACTCACCTGTCAAATTCTGACCAATCAGAGTACAAAAATTGGATCTAGAGCGTGACCAACGCGTGACCATGGTAAGAAAAGGTCTTCCCCGCTTGTATTTTTAAAAAGCTGGCTGAATTTTCGCGTCCGAGGTCAGTTTGAAATCAAAATCTTGACAGTGCGGGGCCATAGTGACATAAACACAACATATTTCATATGAATCATTGGAAAAATATACTTGAGCCTGCGATCATTTGAAACGGGTAATTTGTCAGCGGATAACTTCAAAAAGTACACGACCTCGATGGGTCGACACTTGAGCCCGCGGTACGGTCAGGTGATACTGGTCAGGGGATATCCTGTTTTGACAGCTGTCAATTGATCACAACATTGATGTGCAATTAGTTTTCTCTTGGGCTCCCAAACTAACTAGAAAGTGTGAGAGTAAACATCGGTTTCCCTGTGGTGCGGACAGACGGTCGGGCGTACGGTCACGTGATAACCAAATTTTCTGGGATGGGTAGATTACCACATTTTCTTAGCTACGGGGCTCTGTCGTGCGGGTGGAGCTCTGCTATTATTATCATTAATAATATTATTATTATTATTATCGTACAGCGAGACAGAAACACGAGTCGGCTTTATATACATGATTTAATAATGGGTGCTTTGACAACTGGGCATTCAGGGCATTTGGGCATACAAAACAACGCAATGATTTGCTTGAGTGACCACAAAACAATAGATTCCCTGTGCCCAATTACTAACACCAAAAGTAACCTTTATTGAATCAGCTATATATATTCTTGACTTCCGGTCGGCAGTCGCAGTGACGTAATCAATTGTAGATGACGTAGAGTTGTATTAAGGTTTCCAAGCAACAGGACTTCCACTCGGTGCACTAAAAAAATATGTTTTATTCATGAAAGGCAGACATGGTCATTCATCCTCCGTGACAAAAAAAATTACTGTTGGTGAATTGCACCCGATTCTCCTCATGCAAACTGTTGGGAACTGTAAACTGTACAACGCCGTCTGCAAGAGACTTTGCGACGGTTTTCCGTTAATATCGTTTTATCGGCCATATGTTCTTCAAACTATGGCTTTTGCCTTTAAAACCTTGCTTATTTTCCTCGAATTTACTTTTGAATTATTAATAAACACGGCTCCACAGCTTCAAACAGCGTCTACCAGCAGAATTTCACGGGGGAAAACATTAGAATCATAATTTATCCGCTTATCACTCGGTGGCGTTGGCCAGCATATTAGGAGGTGACCTTCCACCTTGTAGGTCCTGGGTTCAAATACCGGCCGAGTCAACTGTTCTGTCTTTCGTTTGAACAAATGTTAGTGTTGTTCTGTTTTCTAGGCAAGAACCCAATAATATAATGCACCGATCAATTCGAAACTTCAAACTTTTTAAGACACTGGCCTGGTCGAATTCCCGTTATATTAAGCCAGTATATTGGTCGAATGCCCTACCATAGTGATGGATTGCTACTGTCAATGCTCTCCCCAAAGAAGAAGTGATTTGCAGATCGTGAATTTGAAAAATTCATAGACTAATATTAATATGACAAAATTTATTGTTTCATTGAAGCTTGTCCTCACTTTACATCTTATTTCTTTCTTTCTCTATTCAATGAGGGTAGCTACTTTGAAAAACGTAGTATTATGGAAGCCACGTAGAATGAAAAATCCACATGATGTTGATCAGTAGCTTTCGTTTTCATACATAACATCAAAAAATGTTGTGTACTATCACGTAGCTTTGGAAGTCCTCGTTGAACAAGCCATTTGCATACACGTACAAAGCTGTGTCTTTATTTTAACCCCCCCCTCCTCCAACGCCCTATGAGATAGCTCATATTTATCAAACCACACTGTCAGACACTGGATTGTACAAAGAAATTATAATAGACTTGACACTACTGGTTTACATTCCCCATCCCACTCACGCAAAAGCGAAATTCTCCAACTCCGGGAATACCCTATTCGTCAAATTCCCCACCCCTGGGCATAAGTGGTGGTCAAATGCCAGGGGTTTGCCTGGGGGGTGTTGACGTTTCGCATGTAAACCCGATTCCACTTCCAGGTAATCTATTTCTTGTATTAATTTAAATATTTTAGGAAGTTTCATTTTTATAGCACAGTTTTTTGGACAATTTCAGGTAGCAAAACTGCTGATAAGTTAGTTACTGTCCTTTGTCTGTCTGTCCTTATCTATTTTTACAGAATAAAACAATACCGGCATAGTTTACTCTAGAAGTAAAAATATTTGTTTGCATAAATCTCTGTTAAAATGGTCTAGTCAATTACAAGCAGACGTAACTGATCGATGATGAATGACATCAATGAGTAATGGATGAGTAATCAATGGGGAATCAACTGATCTTTCTTTGATTATTCGCTATAATCATTGGGTAATCGATGACTAATCGATAGCCAAAAATTTTGTGGCCTATCGATTACTCATTGATGATTGATTACTGATTGATGTCATCGCTGAGTAATTGATGCGTTCGATTTAACTTGCATGTAGAAAACCAGCAAGTTACTGACAGCTCTACTGAAGATACCTTAAGGCCTTCAAATGCATTTGTTGTTGAATAATAAACAATTATTGGATGAGGTTTTTGTGATATCCTGAATAATCGAGGTCGAGGTAAGTGTTATCAGCCGAGCCAAAGGCCGAGGCTGATAACATTTACGGAGACCTTGATTATTTAGGGTATCACAAAAACCGAATCTAATAATTGTTTTATTATTAATACATTGTTTTGAAGAAAATGACGACAAACACACCTTCGCAAGGAACCTGAATTAATATATTTATTGGAAATCATGCATTGCGCGCGCAACCTACAGATTAGTGAGTTATCTGCTAGCAGACAACTGACTAATCTATAGGTTGCGTTGATTTCCAAAATTAGCTGTAGGCCCTTAGCCAATGAGAAAACAGATAGTGAGTACAATGTATAATAATCATAACTAAACCTTGTATCCGTCGTCACATTTATGTCAAAGAAGTCTTTGTTTCTTTATTTTCGATTTGGTATGGTTTGCGTACCCGCGAGATTATATCGATAACTAATCAATGACCAATGAGTGACTGAAAGTTTTGTGGCCTATCAATTATTCATCGATTATTCATTGAATATCGGATATAATCAATGACTAATCAACTGATTACCTATCGATTACCTATTGATTATTCACTGATGTCATTGATGCCATCGATTAGTTATGTCCTGGTCACAGGTGTGATCACCCACTCCATATATCCTGGGCATTTGCAGGTATTTTGTCCATAAAAAGCTGGAACGCTGCAAGTGCAAGGCTGGGATCGAACTTGATTCATAATTATGTTTTGCCCTAAACAACCGACTTCTAGCTTGATAGAAGAGTGTATTCATTTCAAAAGTGTTTCCAGGATTTAAAGTTTATTGCTTTTACTATAAGTATATAAACGGAAGCTTCTGTTTTAGCCCTGGCTAAATCTATTTAGTATATACAAGAGAGAGTGAGCTAAGAGAGCGAATCCATGTGCCCCATGATAATTTTTTTAATCTATTTAAAGTTCGCGCGCGTGCTGCGTAGGTTATTTTTGTCTGTTGTTTCCGTGACCCGTGTGGTCTACTTTCTCGTGAACATGACATGTTTCGCCGCCAAACATTTGAAGTTTGACAGCTATCATAGTAATTAGCCCCAGGAGCCGATACTAATCGGCCCTGTGAACACAAATCAGGTCAGATGCTTCAAGCTGTTAGAAATCGCTAACCTGGATGCCAGAGACTTTTTATGCGCGGTTTCCGGTTTCGGTCAATTCTTTATACTGAGCGGTGTGCCTACATTTGTCTTCGCTCTCTTAGATGTTCTCTCTTGGTGTATACTAAAACAGTGGATAGTGTTTTTCGCGCGCTCTGGTTAGCTACTCAATCAGTGAATATCCAATGCTAGTCACAGATTCACCTCCAGTTTCTCCGAGCAAGCGACTCCAAATTCGCGTAAGTCAGGAGCAAAATGGCCTCCCGGTTTGCAAAACGGTTTGAGACAAGTGAAAAAGTTTTTTGTTTACAAATGCAAGTTAAGCTTAAGTCTTGCGTTACTTTATTTGGTTGACTTGTTCATAAATAAGCTTAAAACTAAATTTAATAATCTTTTTCACAGAATGATTTTAAATACAAAAAGAAATCGCAACTCCTTTTGAAGAAATTTCCCTGCAAGAGCTAAAGTAAAGCGACGGCCGCGGCCGTTCGGTCATTGCGCGCCAAAATTGTAATCGTTGACAACAGTAAATGAGTTAAAAATCATCATTTTTGTGCTCAATTATCTCACTGTTTTAGTATGTACTAAAACAATTATTCACCTCAGTGTTGGTGGCTAGTGGTGGTGTTTTACCTCGCCGCTCCGCGCATCGGTAAATCCCACCAGCACTACGGTGAATAATTGTTATATATTACTCTTTGTTGTACCTCCAAACTTTTGCATAACCATTGTTTTCGATTTCTCTTAGGACTTACTCTATCGCCCCAAGAGAAACAATGCTTAATCGGCAAAATTTTGGAAAATAGTATTTTAAAGAAATGGTACCTTGAAGAAGGCCTATTGCTGATAAGTGAATGATAAAATCTTCTTGCAGCCACTGTCTATGGGAATGGCGTATACTTTGCTAGAGATGCCTCCTATTCCACACAATTACGATATTCTCCAGCAGATGCAAATGGCGATCGCTATATGTACCTTGCTCGTGTTCTGGTGGGTGAATATGCGGCTGGACGAAGGGAAATGATAACTCCTCCACTCAGAGGAAGCGACGCTGCTGATGCATACGACAGTGTTGTAGACAACACCTTAAACCCAAGCATATTTGTCGTCTTTTATGATAACCAGTGCTACCCAGATTATCTCGTTACTTTTAAATAAACCTGAGAGTTCACGGTGCGTATACATTACTAACTATTGTAATAGGGCAAAGGTGGAAGGAGAAGTTGCGATAGTCTCGGTATAGTGAATGGTTTTAGAGATATGTAGATGGTTTCGCGGCTGCCCTCAAAACAGGGGCCTTCACGATGAAGCACGAGTAAGACTATCACAATTTTAACTCCCATATCATGATGTTCTTTTGATGTCCTTTTGTCGGTGCTAAGAAAAGAGTCTGTAGTTTGTACTGTAGTTCTTAAATGAACTCATTCTTCCCCATCGCCTAGAACGACAAAATGACTTCCTAAAAATGTGAAGAGTAACAACTCGCAGTCGCCGTTTTCAACTGATCAGCAGGTCCTTAAAATACTGCTAGTGACTAGCTCATATTAAATTGTTATGCAACGATAACAGTAGATTGCCTTGCGTTCAGTATCTGGAAAATAAGGTCCTCAGAACAACTGAAGTGGCGTCAAATGATGAGCTAGCGCACCCTTTTTCTGCTTGCTTTTAAGTTACTATTGCTTTTCATTTTTAAACTCTTTCAAATAAAAGAGAACTTTAAATAATTTTTCCAACCATCGGCAAAATTGTCCTACAATCAAAAGTTTTGTCTTCTGCAATGTGTAACCTTCAACTTCGACTTGATATTTTTTTGTAACCTTTTCACTGTTTTTGATAGGTCGCATTCACAAACTCTCAGCGAACGACCTATGACCTCCTGAGAATCTGAATATACCATCTGATTCAGTAATTTTGGTTTTTCAGGCGGAATTTGCAAAGTTTCACTATCTTTGTTTTTTTTCTTATTTTATAAACAGTCTCTGTCAGTTTACATAGAGTTTTGATAACATTATGTTTGAATCAAGAAATAATTAGGAATACCAAGTGTTATTATATATATAGTTGCTAGTTAACGTCGTTTGCTTAACCGTTATATTCCATCTTCCTTTATGTTAGTGTAGGCGGTATAGTCGAATAACTCCAGACCGGCCACCATGAGGACAATGGAAAAGTGGCCTTTGCAGAGAGCTTTTCAAGCAACCTAGACGGCGAAGGTGGCGGATACGTAACTTAAAAAGTGTATTCGCGCTGTTTCAAACCTCAGTGCCGTTATTCCAAATCGGTCAATTTGTCAAATGTCGGTGAATTTTTCTAGAGTTAAGTTCTAAAAGACATTGGGGCCGTTTATACGAGAGAAAATAAGCCGCGACTTACGTAAGACGCAAAAGGAACCATTTCTACGAGTACGGCTTACATAAGACACGAACTTCTCGTATAAATGGTTCACGGTTTAGTTCGCCGCTAGACCGGTCCAATGATGAAGTAGTTTGTTTTTGTACCTCGCACGATTTTCAACAATGGCTCGAGCGACCAAAACTGCGAAACGATTGGCTTCGTTCAGGAAACCGCCATATTTTATACTATTTTTTTTTCTTTCAAATTTATATTTCGATCACGATTACTGTGTGGGGCTGTTCAGCTAACTCACTCTCTCTCTCTCCGTTCTGCGGAAACCTCGACGAAAATTTCGTCAGCGATCAATCGGGTGGTCTGAAAGAAATGTTCCAGCAAATGCATGAGGTGGAGTTTAGACAATATTTTCGGCTCTCTCTCTCTCATTTTCCCGCCACTGCAGCGCGTGTCTCTCGGCTATGAAGGTCTGGGATACAATTGAAAAGAGAGCATGCGCAGCATTTGTTCACCTCCTCAGCAAAGTCGCGGACAACGATTGAGTGCATTAACGAACACTTTCACGTCCAAGGTAAGCCGTGACCTGGATAAGCCCAGCCCAAACTACTCGGCCAGGATAACCCGCGGCTTCAGCTGGCCGTGGGTTGAATAATCCGTGAACCTGACTGATTTTGTGCCATATTTACACGTGGTGTTCGCGTCTTATGTAAGCCGCCGCCAGGGTAAGCCGCGTCTTATATTCTCTTGTATAAACTGCCCTATTATCTGATTTAAGAAAAAGAAAGAGAAAATTGTCGCCTTGTGTACTCGTTCTCGATAAAACGTGAAATTAGGAAGTTCCACTTCGTGGTCGTGCAACGACAGTAAAGAAATGTACACAAAAAACGTTATGCACGTACAAAATTGTTCTTCTATTAATCTAAAGCTATCGCTTTCTGCGGTTATTGTTGCCGTCACCTTTGCCGTAAACCTGTCCAGGGTAGAACAGTCACCCTTCCAGAAGGGTCAACTTAAGCGAGCGTTTGCAGTTATTTCGAGAAAGGTTGTCGGAAAAAGTGTGCAGACGACAATCCCGAAAGGCAATATGGGATATGATTAATACACTTTTCCTGACACTGTAATTGTCAAACCTACGTGTCCATGGCCTCTCGTGCCATTCTTTCAATTTCCATGAAAAACAGTGAGCTCAAACCAACCAACAATACCTATCGGAATTGTCACGGGCACTTTTTCCGACAACCTTTCTCGAAAAAGCTTATATACAAAAAATTTGACCACATTGTCCGAGCCAACAATGCTCGCGCATGCTCTATATGTCTCGCCTTGACCGAGTAGACCCGGCTGGGTGAGCCAAAGTGTTTATGTGGAGAAAAGTAAGCCCGGCTAGGAGTTTAACCCTACCTTCACAATAGGGTGACCCGCCTAGTCGGGTCATCCTTCTAGCCGAGCAAACACGTTTCTCATGTAAACTGTTAGCCACGTTTTGTAAGGAAATGAATGAAAAGTTGGCTCGCTCAGGGGAGCTCGGGCAGGCGGGTGACTTAATCCTTCTTTTTTTTTTCAATACCTTTTAATTAGTGGCCATTTATTGACTTTTACAAATTTTTAGCCTCCTTGTATTTTTGTTTCACAACAATAATGACGGAGCAAACAAGTTTGCAACTTAATTTACCCTTCAACTATTACAGTAGAAGCTCTCTTAACGGGACACCCTCAGAGATCAGACACCGCAACTGGAGCTGCTGGCCACTTAGGGAGTGGTTTTGTAAAGCGTAGAGTTCAAACGGAGTGTTGTGAAGGCAGTTGTGAGTATAGCAAGTGCTGCAATTAATTTTTCATTTTCAGAGAGGACCTATGTGTGACCAGCTCAGACAAACCAGAAAAGTTGTCGGGCTAACTCTAAGTTAAAAACATTGACGTTTTTCAGCTATGAATATGTTCAAGCTCAAAAAATAGCCGAACGATTTGATCGGTCCGGTCATCATATCCGCGTCCTACCCCAGGGATTTCGTTGGATATGACCAAGTTGAGTCGGACATTATTCGATGATCGACTGTTAGTTACAGCTTGATTAGCCCTTTGCAGTACTTGGATTGGTCACGTGGCTGGATACCACTTAGCAACGGCTCGATGGATAGCAAACCATCCAAGCGTTCATTTAAGATCACAAAGCTTTTAGTGCGATTGGGTGGAACCTTCATACATGTAGGTTAATTCAGACGTCATTTTGGTTCACTATCAACAAAATAAATTAGGGATGCTCCTCTCGATCACAATCAAAGCTTGGATGGCTTGCCATTAAGCGAGACGTTGCTAAGTGGTATCCAGACACATGGACATGGCCAAGTTATTCAAAGGGCTTATTTGGAAGCTGTCCACTCACGGGGGTGTTCGTAATGAGAGCATAGGCTGCATACTTATAACCAAATTAGTGGTGTCCTATTGCATGCAGTTGTCAGTGAATACTCATGTAAATTTTAGTTCTTGGACATCCAAATAAAGTCATTGTTTAGGTAAATGTTTGTATTAATTTTGTCGACTGAAACTGAAAATCGTTACTGAATTTGTCAGCAATACGTGACATGGTCGCCTGCAACCTTGGGGGAGGGTGATTGAAATTATGAAAAAATGCAAAATGTTGAATTTGGGGGATTATGGGAATAATTAGTAGCAAAATATCTCTCAGCTCATTAGCGGACCTAACTGGTTGATGGGCATATCTTCTCTACTCTAATTTCTTTCCTTAATTCTCAAATCAAGCCCATTTTCCCCAAAAAAACAACCAGTCCCTCCTTAAATGGGCGTTGTGGAGAGACTCGGCACTTAAGTAGCAGTTGCCGTTGTGGGTAGATGGCTTTTGGCTAAAACAGACTGAGGTTAAGGTACATGTATAGAACCCGTAAGCCACTGCGATTGACCACTTATGGGGATGACAGTTTCACAATTTTCAATTACGTTTTTAACCTCTTGTAAGCGATCTCTAAATGGATGGTCTGATATCTATTTTCGATGTATGTGCAATGCTGCTCACAAACGTTTATTATAACAGGGAACTACACATATATGGGAATATAGAAAATGATGCACTATAAAGTATATTAACCTGGATTTCCGGCTCGGAAGAGACTCCTGTGGTTCGATTCTTGTAACTGACCACCTCCTGTAAATCAACCTCGTCGCCAGCGCGCTTTTCCAAGACAGGGAGAAACGCCCTGGGGACGATTTTCCCTTTACATCTTTGCATTTTTGGTGGTCGCTTACTGGTGGTTTGACTGTATTTTCATGTCTTTGATAATTTAGTAAGTAGTTTCCCTCCATTAACTATGGTATTCAATTGGTGCCGGAAACTCTTTCTGTTTTAACTGCTTCTTCGTCACAATAAGGCGCTTTCCACAAAAACCTTCTGCAATTAAGCTTCAAAATTACAATAGAATATAGTTAGTATATAAAGCAAAGAAAATAATTTGGCTCGAATTTTTAAAATTTGCCTTGAAGTTTAATGCAAGGATAAATTGTTGACTTTTCCGTGTAATTTTAGCAGCTGGATGCATTGGTTTTCCAAATGCAGCTGGAGGAGAAAATTTATACATAAACAAACAATTTGCGAAAACTAGTGGAAATAAGTTGAAGTGTAATTATTGGTTTTAAGACTTCTAAGCTATTAGCAATCAAGTAACTGCGATTAGGGTGCGGCTTCCCAAGATGGAAGAACTGAAACCAACACAAAGTCCATCGCACTGATGAGGGGAAGGTTTAAATCCTTCGATGGAAATTTTACGGAAAGTTTAACTTTTCAAGTAGGTTATGTA